TTGACAAAACACTAATTTGGGGACCCCAGGAAGCAGCAGGAGCCGCTGCGGCCAGGCCGCATCCAGCCAGCGGATGGGATGGGAATGCTCGGGCTCCCCTTCCAACCAGGAGGCACGCGGCATTACAAGCGCTTCCCTTTCCCTGGCTCCTGGCACCTCGTTATTCATGTCGTGATGTCCTTGTCCCGCTCAGGACCTGCCTCTATGGTAGAGCTGGGACAAGCATCCAACGGCAGCCGGCTCTGGGGCTTCACTGATTCAGCGGGATGAAGCCRGGAAAGGAGGAAAGGAGCAGCCCCGTATCCTGTTTCCAGCCCTCTGAGTCACCCAGTCCTCCGACCGGACCTTTGCTTCATCCTCCAGGCACGGCAATTAGCAAGCCAGTGTGCCCCAGCCTCATTTTTTAAAGGAGATACGTAAAAGAACATGCATCTCCTATATGGGAAAGCCTATACGGGGTGCTTCAAAACACAGGAAAATGCCAGGAGCATCTTCCTCTTGCCATGGTGAGTAACCAGGACTTGCTCTGTCCCTCTGTGCCCATCCCAGAGGAAGAGGATGGAGAGGCAGGGGAAGCTGAGCTCCCCTGGCACCAGCACCTTCTCCAGATGGTTCCACCTGGAGCCAGCACGACCACAAAAGGCCCCTGAGGACTTCAGCAACCACGTGGCACCATGTGCTTGACTACAGTTCATGCGGCTCCGTCCAGCCTCAGAAAGAGGCATTTCCCATGGAGGCCCAAAGGCATCATCCATGAAGTGCAGAGCCGGGAGCTCCACCAGCATTCCCAGCTCCGGATGGGAGCTCCCGCCCGTCTCCTGCTTCCCTGCCAGTCCCAGCGCCAGCAGGACGAGCGGCTCCGCTTTTATCTAGGACACGTTGCGTGCCCGACAACCCCCAGACTGCTTCGTTCTTCATGGACGACATCTCAGGAACACTAACCATTAACCTAGATGGGCTCTGGGTGTTCGCRTTTCGCCTCTTTTTCCCCCAAATTCTCCAAATTCCTGACCGGTCAGGCTCACCAGGCTCATGGAACATCACCTTTGGCTCAGAGCGATCCCCCAGCAGACGCATCCCAAGCCTGAGAAACGCGGGATTCACAAGCAACCCGCTTCAGTTTCCCCCCCCCAACGACATTTTCCTTTCTCTTCCTTCCATTCCCAATGATTTTTTTTTAATAAGGAGAAAAAAAAAAAAAAATCAGTTTATGCTAGACCACACACATGCAGCGCTGTATCATGTCACTGCTGCTTGGGCAGAGCGCTCTCATTTATTTCAAAGGCAAGTTCTGCTTCAAAATTGAGGGTGTGATACGAACTCCGAAATTAACACAAGAATTTTCCTTGGGGGGGAAGCGGGGCTGAATCAGACATGCAACAAATGACCTCGGAAGCCCTGCRCCGCGGCGCATCCACCTATCCGGCGGGAGGCTTTCATGGAAAAAAAACCCTCATTTTCACCAGGATGCCATTTCAAGCCAGGTAGAAGAGGTGGGAGAAGTGGATCCGCGCTGGTCACGAGGGAACGGGTTAGTCAYGCGCCTGCCTGCCAGGACGGCCACCGACACGCGCCACGCTCCTCACGCTTATTTTTCCCCCTTGAATTTAAGGGATTATGGGTCTGGGCAGCGTGTTGGTGACGGCCACCAGCGCATCCTGCTGCCAGGGCCCTGGTGGGATGTGAGAGAGAGAAACGTGGCCCTGATGGCACCAGTGAGGACACAAAACCCTACTCTGGCTCTGCCATGGCTGGGTGGCCACCAATACCTCATGTCCCATGTACCCCATGCATGGACGGGGATCCCATGTACCCCATGCATGGACGGGGATCCCATGTGTTTCCACCCCACAAGCCCCGTGTGGGACCCATGGGGCTGTTTCAAAGCCATTGAGTCAAGGAAGAGCCCCATGGGGCGCTGGCATCAAGCCCTGGGCATGTGCCCCACGTCCTACGCCTGCCACCCCACTTGGMCACCCAGGACAGGCAGAGCTGGGGAAGGTCCCACCACCCCTGGCCCCCACAGCAGCTCCACCTGGAGAGCCGGATTAGCCAGAAAACAGGGCAGAGGCTCCRTTTTCCGAAGAAAAAGAGGCTCCGGGGCCTCCGCTTCCTCATGCGAGAGGGGGACGGAAAGCGCGCCAGCCTTGCGTGCGGACCGGCTTTGCTCTCCCCATCCACGGCCACGCATGGGGAGTGACCCCAAGGACATGGGCACGYGCCCCACGCACGACACAGCCCCCCTCGCTCCCCTCCTCTCCACCCCTGTTTACAGSAGCAACCCCAAGGAACGTAGAAGTTGCTCCTTCCACCGCGTAGCTGCCACATGGTACAAGATATAACAACGTTCAGAAAACCCCCTCGGGTCCCAACGCAATTATACAACTGTRGCAAGAAAAATACGTTAATCTGATCAAAGTGTTAACATGTTTGACCATGTCTGACCTCTCATGTTTGTAACCACCTAAAAGGCCGACGTTCTCACCAAGGATGTACCTTAATTTGATTTAAAGTTATTTGTACTATTTAAAAAAAGGATATAGTTTTATGATTTTATATTTCATGTAGAAAAAACAGCTCCCTGGCTTAATATTTTTGCATGATTCTTGCAGGTTTTTTCAACCAGCAAATATTATATATCCTGCTGGGGGGAATAGCRGGAGTTTTCCAAGGGCAGGGAAGGAGCCCGGCGAGATGCCCATGTCACCCAAAGGTGCAAACCCTGCTCTGGTGACATCTCAGAGGGGTTTATCAGCACCAAAGGGGCATGGGCCACCACGGCCCGGGCGGCTGGTGCCGTGCCAAGGATCTGGTGGCCACGGGGTGTCTCTGGGGACGCAGGCGCCGCGCTGACGGCCACGGCCGGGACATTCTTCCACCCACCAGCCAGCAGCGACGCGGGGAACACGTAAATAGCGCGAGTGGGTGTGTGTTGATAAAACGCGCGGCGCTGGCCCCGGGCACGCGGGGGACGGGGCCCGGCGGGGCGGGACGGCGCTTGGCGGGGCAGGAACGAAAAATAAAATTCAGAAAACAACCCCAAAAAACCACGCAGGAGCAATGCTGCTGCTGCGAAAATGCAAACAAAAAAGGGAAACAGCAGGAGGAAACTGGTTAAATGCAAAACCATTAAAGTTTGGGAAAAGCACCACTGGGCCAATCTTTGTATTTTATATACTACACATATGCATTATATTTTATATACTTAATCTATATATTTTATATACTTATTATTAAGAAGCCGATCCTAGCAGCACACCACTGCTTCCAGGAAGCTCCAGCCAGACCAAACGCAAGCTTTACTACCAAGTGCCTGCACGACGGCGACATGYAATCCCATTCACACCGTCCTCCCCCTCGGTTTGTGCCGAAAACCTTAATTAAACACGCGTTTATGGATGGCTACGTAGCCAAAGCAGATTTGTGACCTCCTCAAGTCCCGGGAGCAGCCTCCAGATTAGAGCCCACATTTATATCATATGCACAGCAGCAATGAATCTGCATGACAGCAATACTGAATATCCCATGGTAATGTCTGCACAGGGAAAGCCAACACAGGACAAAACTGGCCCCTGCTCCAAAGTATTGGAATAGCTACTGAACCATCTATAAAATAAAATGAAAAAGCAAAGCAAAGACTGTCCTCCTTCTTGAGGACAGATTTTGAGACGAAAACATGAAATCAGCTTTTTGAACCATGAAGCACGACACGACACGGCCTGAAGCAAATCCCGTGCGGCCAGGGAGCGATTCCCACAGGCCCGGCCGGGAATCYGGGTGGGAATCATCCCTCTCCACCCCCGGCTCTGCTCCCCAGGACCCCCGCGCACCCCATGTGCTCGTCCTCCTGCTGCAGCCTCCCTGCGTTATCAACTGCAAGGGGCACTTGTAACCCAAAAAAAACTTTTTTGGCCTAAACGCTGATAGAAAGGCCATCCCGCCTTCTTGTCCCGTAAGTAAGGGTTTAAAATTAACAGAAATAACCACTATAGAGAAAACCTSTTGGCTCGGTGCAACTTACCCAACCTAACAGAACTTATCCGAAAATTCTCTACCAGGGARCAACTAAATGCTTTTAAATAAAGCTGATTTATAAAGATTTCTTTAYAGAGATCTCTATATGAAGACAGATATAAAGCTAAATAAACGGCTGCTCGCGGGTGGGAGGCCCGGGCTTCTGGCAGCCGGCCGTGGCTCCCACCAACAGCCTCTCACCCCCCTTAACTCCAAGGCTGCTTCATATCCCCCAGTCTGGGCATTTTTCATAGCACCGGGTCAGCAGCCCCCCTTCTAAAGCACTGAAATGCTACATTAAAAAGGCCATTATATATGTTTATATTTTTTAAATTTTTTTTAGCTTAAAAGTTAAAAACTAAAAGTGAAATAAACGCTGTTCTCACTCAGCCACTAACGCGGGAGGGACACGGTGCTGCTGGCTGCCTCCAAGGAAGGGGGACACAGTTTAGCTGGATTTGTGGAACTCTTTCCCCAAGATGGGACAAGAACCACGGCTACAGAGAGCCCTTCTGCTCTGGCATCTGTTCGGCCACACTTGCTGTGAGCATCAGAGCTCACAGGCTCACTAGGCTGGACCCGAGCAAGTAAAACCAGGCACAGGAGCAAGGCTGGGAGAGCCCCCGATACCTCCAGCAGCACCAAGCGTTTCCCCAGGAGCCTCCATRGCAAAGGGAAAGCACCAGATCCACCTTTGTGGAGCATGGGCACCGCGGAGCCTTCGCAACGGGGAGGCCGAACGGGCGCCGCGTCGCACGCGGATACCCGGAGCAGGATCTAAACCCCGCATGCAAACCCCGAAAGCTGCTCAATCTGCAAGGCAGGACGCCCGAGCCCGGGGCTGGGGTCTGTCCCGTGCCTGGAGGAGTGAACGTGGAGGATGAGGAGATGCAAAGCGCGACTTTGGGAAGGCACGAGCGCTCGCTCCAAGCGCCACGCGCTCTGCCGATGCCCCCGAGGCCCCGACGCGTCCGCGCCGGACTCACCAGAGGTGACATGGAGCCGTTGGGCAGGTAGGGGTCGGAGAGCATGAGGAAGGGGTAGCCGGAGTACGCCGAGCCCTTGTACATCCCCGCATCCTGGTGCTTGATACCTGCGGGAGCCAGAGCCCCGTCACGCTGCGCCCCGCGTGCGCCCRCGGCGGGGGGCGCGTGGGGACCCCCTTCGCCCCCAGGGAGGGGGCCCGATCCTGGGGAGCGGGAGGGTGGGATACAGGGAGCACGGATGGAGGGATGGAGCAGGGGGTCCCGCTCCCACTAACCATCTTCCATGTGGTCCGGGAGCTTCTCCTGGTAGACCCTCTGCGGCTCCTGCGCGCGGCGGACGCCCTGTGCGGGGAGGAGAGACGAGAGCCGAGCCGGGGGTGGCAGGGGGGCCCCGCGGGGCAGGGCGGGGGGGCGGGAACGGGGGGGTCCCCTCTCACCTCGGGGTCGCCGGCGCCCGCGGGGCTCCCGCTGCCCTCGGACTCGTTCACGAGCGACGACTTGAGGTCGGCCAGGTCGCGCTCGGTGAAGGCGTGCGCGGGGATCTTCTCCTCCTGCTCGCCCTCCTCCTTGAAGGCCAGCAGCTCGTCCGTGGCCCCCAGGTCGTCGCCGCCGCCGCCGCCGCCGAGCTGCGGCATTTCCCGGCCGCGCCGCGCACCGCACCGGCCCCTGCTCCGCGCTCGCCTCCGCTCCTGCTTCTTTTTTTTTGTTTGCTTGTTTTTTAAAAAATGTGCTCTTAAAAAAATAATAAAAAAAAACCTTCCAAAAGTTTTTTTTTTTAAACACCCGCTTTTAAACTTTTTCTCCCCCTCCTTTCTTCTTTAACCCTCTTCCTTGAAATTCCTTTAGAGATTTCCTCTAAATTCTTTCCTAAAAAAAAAAAAAAAAGTATCTTTTTGTTTGTTTTTTTTCTCCTTTTCCTTTCCGAATCGTTTCTTTCCTGCCCACCTCCCTTCCCCCGGTGCTTCGCGGCGGGGCAGGCTGCAAAGAAGCGGGCGAGCGAG